ACGAAAAAAAAGCCTTTCCGATAGCATTGAAGACTTGACCAATTGTGTCATACCTCAAAAAAAGAAATGAAAAATAAAGCATTAATGTTATATAATTGATTGAGGAATTAGGATTAGAGTTCTCTGTGAAGTGTTTATTGATGCTATTCATCGCTAGCAAAATAACAGAGAAGCACCCACAGAGTATTAAATTCTCCTTTTTGGGTTCAGTCCACTTTGTGAACATAGTTTCGCAAATGAGTGAAAATAAAGCTAAGATGAATATCAAGAACATCTCCGAAGAGTCGAAAAAGAAGTCTCCAACATCAGTAATATTATATTTATTATATTGAGATGGGTATGACCTTATCTCAACGGCTCCAATCATGAATAAATGGACATATGTCAAACTGTGTAAACAAACCACTTTATAAGGAGTCTTTTATATACTAGATTTATCCCTTGCGTCGTACCCAATCTCTTTGTTAACCCCATCTGCTTCAGTTATATTTACATTAACTGACATTAACACATAAAATGGAAAAAAATAGAAAAACTATTTGAGTTCATTTGGAATATGTTTTGGAGAAATCAGTTTGGTTGTCAACGCAATGTTGACGTGTTTCTTGGGTGACTGTTTTATTGAATGAAATTGTATTGACTTTGTCTGTTAATAACATCATCACTATTATCACTATCACTAAATGAAAAACAAGTTTTCGACTCAGATTCCGGCACACTGAACTGATGGTGGAATTTACATTGTTTAACAATACATTAAAAAGTATTTATTTGTGGGTTTATCATAAAATTGTGAAGTAAATTCTATTCACCATTTTTTTTGTTAAAAAACAGTGTAATAGAAAATATAGTAGTTTTTTAAATTATAATAAAACTATATTATTTATCTAAGTATACCTAAATTCAAGGGTCAAGAGCAAAATAAATATTTGTGTGTTTTGTATTTATTATATCAATCTATTATTTGTTTTTATTCCGCCATTGTTAATCGTGTTGAATTAAAATTGATTAAAACTATTTTTTGTTATCACTAAATTTTGTTAATTCTGTTAATTAAAAACTTAATTTTTTTCCAAAAATAATTACTTCCTTATAATAGTTAGTCTTTATATTTCACAATATCAACAAAAAATATTTTTACAAAAATTTAATCCTTTTATTCAACAAAAATAGGTAAATTAATTCCGATGAATTATAATAAGGAACATTGTTTATCAATTGATTTAACATTTGATGGTATATTTACGCTGCTTAGACTACTGCATTCACAAAAACATTTTTCACCAATTGATTTAACACTTGATGGTATATTTACGCTGCTTAAACTACTACACCAAGAGAAACATTCATCACCAATAAATGTGACACTTGATGGTATATTCACGCTTTTTAGACTACTACATCCAGAGAAACATTTTTCACCAATTGATTTAACACTTGATGGTATATTTACGCTGCTTAAACTACTACACCAAGAGAAACATTCATCACCAATAAATGTGACACTTGATGGTATATTCACGCTTTTTAGACTACTACATCCAGAGAAACATTTTTCACCAATTGATTTAACACTTGATGGTATTGTAACACTTCTTAACCTATAACATCCAGAGAAACATTCATCACCAATTGATTTAACACTTGGTGGTATATTAACACTACTCAACCTTTGGCATCCATAAAAACATCTATTACCAAGTGATAACACGCTCGATGGTATAATAACACTACTCAAACTCCTGCATTCATAGAAACACCAATTACCAAACGATGTCACACTTGGTGGTATTGTAATACTACTTAGACTTCTGCATCCAAAGAAACATTGATATTCAATTGATTTTACTTTTAATGGTATAATAACACTGCTCAAATTAATACAATTAAAAAAACCTCCATAACCAATAAACGTGACACTCGATGGTATTGTAACACTTCTTAAACTTTTACATTCATAGTAACAATTACCATCAATTATTGTCACACCTAATGGTATGTTATCACCAAATTTCTCTCTATCGTTTTTAGTGTAACAAACTCTTTTAAACTTGATGTTTCGACTTTTGTTTTTGTCAACAGTTTCAAAGTTAACATTGAACCACACGACAATACAACGAAACTCTTTTAATAAAACATTTTTGTTCTCATTGTTTTTATATTCTTTTGTGTTGATCAAAAATCCATTGCCAAAATTCCCATTTCTTTTACTCCATAAATGAAGTGTCTCGATGTTTGGGAAGTATCCAAGTGTTTTTCAATCCAACGGAATTGGGTTGAATTGGAACTTTTCCATATTACCACTAAACTTCTTGCATACAATTTCTAAGTTAATAAAGTCTGTAATTGTCTTGAAGTACTTCGAGACTCGTATGATGTGATAACCAGAAAGTTTGGACATTTTAATATTTACAGTTTTTTTGTTTAAATAATCCCAAATTCGTCTTTGTAAACAATTTTAAGAAATTCTTGATTAAAAGTCATTCACTATTTTAATTTTATTGTAAAAAATGTTAACTTAACTTTGAAGATTCATCAAAATACTTGGGCTGATAATAATTATTTAAAGTCGAAAACACATAATGAATTACATAGAACTGGTACCAATTTAATTAAAACGTGTATCAAACAATTAAAAACATAGAATAATAATTACAGGTATGGTAAAAACCCATAAAATTATCTTAAACCCCTAAAAAAATAGTTTTGATAATTGTTTAAAAATTTAAAATAAATTAAATTTATTAATTTACATTATAAAAG